AGCTCTTCATATGAGCAGGTGTTTTGGTACTTTCCTGTTATCTCAGTACCTCATTCCTAGACCGCACTATACCATCCAGACAAATCTTTAGGACAATTTCATAATCAGGACAACCTACCAGAAACAGTGAATTTTATTTTTCCGCATTCTGCTGAAACTGATTTTGGGAGGCGGTTAGGTGAAGTTAGGTTAGGTCAGGTTACATTGGTTAGAGGGAAGGTACAGAGATGACAGGAAAGTAGGTACTGTACTGAGATAACAGGGAAGTACCAAATTTTTTTTGTGAATGTCCTTGCAGAGGGAGTCCATGCACCCATATAAAGTACAGTATACATTTTTTCAATTTTTTGAAGCTGTGTATTCTCAACAGTAATAAAATTGCTGTTACAATAATTGTATTCCAAACTATGATCATGCAATTCCTTTAAAGCTTCTGATATTGCATGAAAATACGGTATTGTCTTTGTCATTATATTTTCCTAGTCTCAGGAATATGATTTTTGGAAGAGTTACCTGTATTCAAGATTGTCCTTCATTTTGAATCCATTCCAAATGATAATTCTGCCAAAAAAGTAATAGTTTTAGCAGATTAATATGATGCTTTATTGGATGACTCATGGTTATGCCAGACCTATGTTTCATGAAGTGAATGAAAACATTTCTTGATAAATATTGCATTGATTGTGACAACAATTGTTTCCTTTCTTTCTGGTTCTTAATGATTCAGTGAGACTTCAAACAACTTTTCAGCCAAATTCCGCTAGAAATCAAGGGAGACAAAATGATAACTGTCATATCAGGATGAAACTTCGCATCTGTTTTTGCTATATGAAATCAACAGAAAAACTGAAAAAACCATGAACAGCGATAAAGCATTCATCCCCAAATGAGGCAATTATGTGCTATGGAAGCCACATTTGCCACTGTATAACTTAGCTTTTTCAAAATTATTATAAATTATTGTAAATTCAGAGTCTGTCATTCAAAAGAATGCCAATTATAATTGCACAAGTTTTTAGATGCAATGCAAAAATCTAAGAGAAAAAGTACTTATAACCAAGTTGCCTCTTCAGGCAGATAAATCCGAAATATTCGAAAGTTTAATTTCAGTGTGATCTGGAAATTCCACCGAAATTTCCCAACAACTTTCTTTCTTTTGGATGACAAAGAAAAATTGATTCCATTTTTGACATTTTGAACATTCCCTCAGGCACCCAGTTTGAAGCGCTTTTGAAATTCATTTTAAAATATATTCATTTACATAAAACAAATTTTATTGCTGTATGCCATTTGCATTTTCAGTGTGATTTCCTGAAAAGGAGCGAATATACGAAAAACTGCTGTGAGGGGGAAAAAATACAGGCTTTATAGTCACAGGAAATCAAAATCGTGGAAAAAATGGAAAATTCGTGCGATTTTACATTCAGTCGTTCTTTGAGATACTTTCGTTTCCAATTATACTGAATCTCGAAAGTCGGGAAAAATTATTTTTTGGCTTCACTATATATCGACGCAAGATCCTCATTTTTCTGACGAAGAAATAATTTCACAGGAAGCTCATTGGGAAATACAGTACGTGACCTCATGCTATTCCGCATCACGTATATATTGAAATTTTATGATTGGTTTTCTCAAGGAAATGGGTTTTCAATTTCAAACTGACAGCCCTGGGATATTACTCTATAAAATGTATAGACGATCAAGGCTAGACTGAGTGAGCAACAAAAAAAAAGAAGGCCGATTTATTGCAAGCAGTGATTTAAAGGTGGTTTCAGCTTCAGTTGTTGTCAACAAACTCAGACTTGTGCTGGAGAATCTCGTATGCCACTTTCAAGTTATTCTTTATTGAAAATCTAAAAATATTTTATGACAAAAAGTAAAATATTTTAGAACAGTGCAGAAATGTTGGTCAATTTGTGCCACTTGGGTAAATCAGAAACTGATGAGATAGTAACTGGTATTCCCTATATTGAGAGTGTTCAGGGTTCAACATTGTCCCCATTGCTCAAAACAGAGACTGAACGTAGGGTTGGGTGTATGATGTTTAAAAACCAAGAATTTGGGGTTTATCATAAAATAGTAGACCTGAATTATCCTGCTACTAACTCAAGTTAAGGAGACAGTATTTAAAAAAATAATTGAAGCCTCTTCAAGGCCATCAAAAATAATTTAAATCTTGGATTGTATGTTGTAATTCATGGCTGTGAATAACTAGGATCAACATCATCAGACTTATAATTTTATAATATTATGAATGAAAAAACTTATGTGAGATCTCACCATGTTGTTATGCTCTACAAATATTAAGAATAACATAGCCAATACTGTATTTCCACAAAATCATTCTCCAATTGATAATTCACTCCTTTTTTTAGATATTTATAAATTAATATGGAACTTGAATTGTATTTTGTAATTCATGAATAAGAAATTAGGATCAACATCATCAGAGTAATAATTTAAAAATATTATAAATGAATAAAAACGTATGTGAGATCTCACCAGTTTTTGCAGTCATATACAAATTCTTTCTGTATATTAAAAAACATAGCCAATGTTTCCACAAAATCATTTTCAAATTAATAATACGCATGCTTCTTGCATGTTTATTTTCTTTTCTCGTCTTCATGATTCCTGGAGTTGAAGATACCGTAACCGGAAATCATAACAGGTGTATTTCACTTACAATTTCTGAGCTATAATCACAACCAACTAACCAAGATTGAAAATCATATCATCAAAGAAGTGTAGCAACCTATAATTGATTCCATAAAAAACGTATAAAAGGGTACTTGAATTGGAACTATTTAAACTAGAAAGATTGCATGATTATATGCACGAAGTGATTGCTTCCATTTGCTAGTTCTGTGAACTTTTTTTGGGACTTAATCATTGGAAAAAATATCTACAATTTATTATTCTTGCAGTCAAGCTTCAAAGCATGATGTTGAGGGAAGGATAGATGGCCAACATTTTCATTACTTTCATCTCTTTATTTGTCCAAATTGATGACATTTTTTCATGATGATAATTTTGTTGAAGTCCCGGTTGAAACTCCATAGACAGAATGGGAAAAAACCTCATCACAGTAAATTACTTTCTTGATACATTTTCAGAATTTTGTATACTTGTGAGAATAAATACTGTAATTGTATTTCCAATTCAGGAGAAGTTTTGTTCCTGTACTTCAAATGCAAGAAATGCTGCAGGAAATCCCTGTCATATTGTTAAAGTACTGTATGTTAATTTGTCCCAAAAAACCCATGTTTGAAGGAATTAATCTCCAATTTGAGGAATAAACATTTTCGAAAATTTTATAAAAATCTTGAGGCAACATACAGTATTTGTTTGGTCCAGAAAAAGATTCAAACTTTTGTAGCATCAAAATTTCATGCATTTACTATGGTTTTTTTTATCACCAGGACTCTGATCCAACAATTCCAAACCTCAGTTTGATACTTCAGTCAAATAACCTCTTCCAGTCAAATTTCAAAGGAACCAGCAAAGATTAAACAAGAATCTTTGTTGTGGGAAAGATGGAAGAATTGAGTGAAATTGTAAATGGTGATATTCTGGGCCTTAAATTGCTTCTTAAATGAGTTAACAGGATTCTGAACTTAGAGGCAGGGGTTCATTTTTCCCAATTAGACCTTCACTTCCTTTCAAAACACATTGTGATTTTTTTTATTGATTTTCACTTTCACGTCAAGAAAAAAATAGGCAAAAGGCCTCAGAACATTTGAGTTATGGAGGTTAGAGAGGAAACACATTTGTGTTAGAAAGATTTTTAATGCATTGTTTCTTATAGAAAGACAGGTACTCAAAAAAATCAAGCCTATCAAAGGGAGATTTCAGTTATCCAGGTTCAACTGTATAAACCAGCATTCCCCAACCCATGGTCCACAGACTGGTGCCTGTCCTCAGAAGTTTTCTGTTGGTCTGCAGGAAATTTTCTCAGGCATAATAAATTAATCAAAACCATCAATAAAGGATGTTACAGTATCTTTTTCTGAAAAGGTTTGCAAAGAATTGCAGTTAAAATCAACTCATGAAAATAAGTTGGCTTTTCTCCTAATAAGACTTGAGACAAAACTTCACCCAATGAAATAAATATTAATATTTAAATTTTTAATTCTGATGCATTTTTCTTCAAGCCCATCTTCCTAATTTTTTTGAAGACATTCCATTATAGCTGCTCCATTGTTTCTTATATTTTCGCATAACAGAAACTTTTTCCATACCTGCCATAAAGTATTTCAGGCAAAAATTGTTTGAGGGTGTAAATTAACATTTTTTAACAACTTTGCCGGTCTGCAGAATGGTTTTTGAAAATTCACCAGTCTGCAAAAAATTCCACAGGCCCAAAAAGGTTGGGGAACACAGGGAACTGTGATTGGTTTCATGTTCTGTATATGCAGTCAAACCCCATTAAAACACTCCCCGTTAAAGCACCACCCTTGGCAACTGCCAAAATTTTCAATGAAACAAATCTCCTCCATGTTAAATCCTATAGAAAACCTGGATAAGACGCCAACCGCCATCTGCCAGTATTAGTGATGTTTTCAAAAGTGCTGTTTCCTATTAGTTTGGTCTTTGTTACAATGCCAACATTTGTGTAGAATTATAATTTCTGTCAATAAGGATCTTGTATTTGTAAGAATTGAAAAAAAATAATGGTCATTTTTTTGAAAAAATTTGAACAATATATTGACCTGATCTTAAAATTTTGAATACATTTATGCAGAAAAATGAATTTTCTGATAGAGTAATTCATCAATCACAGCAATACTCTTTGGAAAATTACTGAAGTTTCTAGAAAACCAATGACTTTTTTGAGGAAAATCAAGTATTTTTGATCAAATAATTTAAAATGAAATATTTGATAAACCGCCAACCCCTTTAAACCGCCAAAATTGCTCTGGACAAATGGTGGGGTCTTATTGGGGTTTGACTGTACCTCATCCAAAAAAAGAGAGATTTTTTCTCATTTTCCTAAATAGAATTAAAAAAAAGAACAAGTATTTGCGTATAAAAGAAGAATCAGACGATGCCCTGCCAATGACTCGACATACGGACAGACATGACAAAGACACGCGTACGTGTGAACCGCAGCGGATGGAAGAGAGCATTGCTCAAGAACTCGGGGCTGCGGACGAGATAAAAGTCGCTCACTCGCCTCCCCGAGGACCCGGACCCCACAGTCCATCTCAAAAACTCGTTCAGTGCATGTAACCCAGGAATCCCGCGGCCGGAGAGCAAATATATATATTTCAAATGCTTTGCTCGTCGTGTTTCTCCTCCAAGACGTCATGAGAATTTCAGCAGTGAGTATTCATTTTAATGTACTGTACATTCATTTGAAAAAAAAAATTATTTCCGTGCTTCTTATTCTTTATTTTTTTGGGAATAAGAGATTTCACGGGGAATAGGTGCAGACAGCGCCGCGTCCTTTTCTAAAAAAAAAAATGTAGACTGGAATTTCACTAAAAGAAAAATAACTGCGTAAGGTTGAAATGACGTTGCTAATTAGAATATTTTTGTGAATAAACATATCGTGCATAAATGCTTTGCTCGTCGTCGTGTTCTTCTCCATCAGCTAAGACGTCGTGAGAATTTCAGCAGTGAGTATTCATTTTAATGTGCATCAATTTGAAAAAAAAGTATTCCCGTGCTTTTTATTCTTTATTTATTGGGATTAAGAGATTTCATGGAGAACAGATGTAGACAGCGCCGCGTCTTTTTCTCTAAAAAAATGTAGACTGGAATTTCATTAAAAGAAAAATAACTGCGTAAGGTTGAAATGACGTTGCTGCTCAGAATATTTATGTGAATAAACATATCGTAAATAAATGCTCTGCTCGTCGTGTTCTTCTCCAGCTAAGGCGTCATGAGAATTTCAGCAGTGAGTGTTCATTTACTGCTGAACTTCTATTTGAAAATTATTTCCGAGTATTTTATTCTTCATTGAGAAGAGATTTCAGAGAGAACATGTGCAGAAAGCGCCGCGTTCTTTTCTACAAACATTTAGAATGGAATTTCTTTTTTTTTAATTGCGTAAGGCTGAAATAACGTTGCTTAGAGTGTTTCTATAAAATTCATTTTATAGAATTTCCCAAAATTGAAAAGTAAAGCTGGAAGTTTTATTTTCAAAACTCCTGAAAATTCCAGCAGTGACGTCAGTGAGTACTGTAATCATTTAGAGTACTTCCATTTGAAAATTATTCCCGTGTATTTTATTGGCAACATATTTCAGAGAGAACAATAAGTGCAGACAAAGCCGCACATATTTTTCTAAAAACAATTGAGTAGAAATTCTTTACAAAATGTGTGAGTTTGAAATAACGTTGTTTAGAATATTTCTACAATACCTCATTTTTTAGAAATTTCCAGAATTGAAGAAGAAAACTGCAAATCGCAGCTTTATTTTTAAAAACTCATGAAAATTTCTGCAGTGCGCTGAAATTTACTTCCATCTCAAAATCATCCCCGTGCATTTTATTCTTTATGAGATTTAAGAGTGAACATCAGGTGTTGACAGGACCGCATATCGTTTTCTCAAAAAAAAATGTGAGCAGAAAAACTTTTTAAAATATGCCAGTCTCAAATAACGTTGTTTGGAATATTTCTATGGAATTAATTTTGTAGATTTTCCGAAAATTGAAAAATAAAACTGCAAACCGCACTTATATTATTTTTTTGAAATCACAAAAATGCCAGCATTGAGTATTCATTTAATTTGTTTGGAAACTGATTCCTGTGCTTTTCTTGGAAAGATATTTTAGAGAGAACAGGTGTGAAAGGGTCTGCACATCCTTTTCTCCAAAATTTGAGCAGAGTTTGATTTGCTTCGGCCGCAAACAAATTGCTGGAAAATGTTTGCTCATTAAATATTTTCTTAAAAATCACAAACATAATTATAGACTTCATACTGAATTTTCTTATATAATTTTTTGGAAGAATTTCATAGAGTAAAAAACGTAGGTCGCAAAATATTTGCAGCAGCATTTTTCCCGATTAAATTCTCCCTATATATGATGCAGAAAAAAAAAAACTGCATAAGTCGCAAAACAGGTCCCAAAAACGTTTTGCCTAAGAACTTCCTCAAAAATTTTCAAGAAAATGAAAAAAACCGACCGCATTTTTTTTCAACCTCTGAGCATCAACATCAAAGGAAAAAACCCATGTGGGTCGCAAAAAATTACCAAAACATTTTCATCTCTGTGAAACTTTTCCTTACAAAAATCGATATTGCTTGTTCTCAATATATATAGAATGCAAGGCATTGAGATACTTTTCCATTATCTCCCCCAGGGCAAAGTAAAACTCATACCCATGCAAATTAAACTTTGACTAAAAAAACTACAGTGAGACCCCCACATGCAGACACCTTGACCTGCAGACAATTTGACATCGGGACACTTATTTTCCCATAAAAAATTAATAAAAAAGGCCCAGCATGAGGACACTGACTCAACATAGAGACATTTTGTGATAAAATTGCAAATAAATTTCAGGCCAAATTACAAGAAACAGATATTTCCAACCCTAAATTTCATGTAAGAAAAGTTCTTGGGCATTTCTCTCACCAATTTACCATCCATTTAGCTGATTTAAAAAATTAGCTCAAGCATAGAGGGACTTCCTTCTCTCTTTTTCTCTTGAATGTCATTTTTACAGAGTGCCAACATTTCTATGTACTGTACAGAGGTATCAGTGCTCAATTCCCCAAATGTCCATATTGTGTTGAAATATATTGACTGAATCAGTTTAAATTGGGAGACAATTTTTATATTTCATGGAATTATGGTGAGTATTTTGTACGTAAAACACCAATTAAAAATTATATAATGTAAGTCTAAGGGAAAATGAGACTCGGCTTGGGGACATTTCAACTTAGGGACACTCGATGCACCAACTATGTCCGCATCTCGGGTGCACAAATATTATTCCCCGTGTTTTTGGCAGAGTATTCCGCTATTCCTGCTCGTCGCATCGGCCGCAGCCCAGCAAAGTGCATCAGCAGGAGACGAACCCCAGCAACCCGGAACGATTCGCAGGGGCAAAGTCCGTAGGGTCAAGAAGCTTCGCCAGCAGCAATCCGGAAACGATTTCCGCTCGAGTCCCCAGCAACAACAACAACAACAACAAAAACAATTCATTGCTCCAGCGTCATTGGGTCAACTCCCAACACTGCCACCCATCACTGGTGCTGGCAACCCCAATAATTTCCTGCCACCGCAACAACAGGTCAGCAGCAGTAGTGATGTCGGGAACAGTGCTGGTCCGAATGCGGTCTTCGCTCCGGAACAGAAATTTGACAAAGGTGCCTCAGCACCGACCCGGGGTCCTCCAGTCCCGATTTACAACCAAAATTTCAAGATCGACGATGTCGGCAACTATCAGTTCAAGTGAGTTGGTCCATTAAATATATATACTGACTCGCATGAAGTAAAATCCCGTTACAATGACGCACTCCCAGCAAGGACCTGCGATAAATTACAACTTCTACAATTAATCCAAATTAATTCTTATTAGACCTTCATGCGTCCTGCTATGCTAAATTTTCCTTACAAAAATACTGTATTAGCATTTATATTTTCGAAAGTTTCAATTATGCGCAAGTAGGGTTTTTCCATATTTTGCAAATTTTTAAAAATGTCTACGGTCCGTAATGCACACATTATCACGGCGAAAATTACAGCAAAGTACCGAGATTATATAGGAAAATTAGTTTGTTCAAACGAAATTGTTTTACCGAAGTCCCTATGAAAAAAAAAAAAACTGCGAAGACCAAGAAAAAAATTCGATAAAATAAAAAATTCGTTGTGACATGATTTTTTTAGCGGAATTTTATTGTATATCATGCAAATTTCTTGCATGCAGTTGAACATTTCAGAGTCAAACTTGGTGAAGAGACTTCAGAAGAATTTCACTTGGAGAGTTTTTTGAGTTGGGAACGTTGTGTATACATTATTCCGTGGACATATTTCATTGCTAACATATTTGATTAGTTTTTTACATTCATCGATGTCCTATATGTGCAGCAGGTAGACGCCAAATCCAAAAAATTCGTATTTTTCAGTTTTCTGGAACGCATGTCCTAAAATTTAACTTAACTGAAAAAAATATCTTCAAAAATTTCACTGAGGGAGGTTTGACTCATAAACATTAAAGTTAGAAGAGTAGAAATTGTATTGAATTTGAGAAAGGGATTCTTATAATACAGTACTGTGACAAGTGGAAATTTAACTTGGGAAGGTTTTGACTTGAAGAGTTCGAATTGTAATGGGTTTGTTGTAGATTCAAACAAAATTATAATCCAATAGTCATATACAGTATTGCAAACAACTCATTTGAGTTTTCATTATTATCTTGACCAAGAAATAAATTGTATATCCCATACGGTGAATTCCAGGATTTTTGAAAAATTTCAAGCTATTTTGCTTGCAAAATTTAGTGCCAGAATTAATAATCGAAACAAGCATCTATATATTGAATGGAATCTGATGGTAAAAACCAAAACTACAAATTAAATCATCACCAGAGCATTCAAATGAGGTACTGTATAACGGACTGCTGCGCAAAACTTTTGTCAAATTTGCAAGTTGCAACCATTATTCCAAATGACTGTTTCTTTTGTTACGCTCTTCTGTTGAATCAGGCTTTTTTAAGCGCCAAAAACTACTAATTATTATTTTTTCGTATTTACGATTTATTTTCCTCTGCAGGTTATTGTTTGATGGCTAATACACTCTTTGAACGCAGTATTAAACAGAGCGCAGCAATAATGGAGCACATTCATTTTTTTTAAACCAGATTTAAATTTTTTTTTCATATTTTACAGCTTCATAATGAATAAGCTTCCTTCATTACTAAATTCAACAAATACAACAAGATTTTCAGTCCTTATTTCAATTGTAATGTTATAGGGCTTCTCATCTAAAAATGTTTGTCCCGTCTCGAATTCTTCTGCAGATTAGAGAGAAAGAGAGTCAACCTGTATTAAATTATTTTCTACGCATGTGATTCAGATAAGCAGGGATTTAAAATAATTGACTCGAGGAGGTTTGACACTACTCGGCAATAAGGTCCAACTGAATTTTCCCTTTTTTTTCCCCCCTAATAATTGCCATGTGGTATCCACATGGCAAATCAGCTTTGAAACCGGTGACCAGGTGCAAAGAGTCGAATCCGGCCAGCAAGTGACCCGCGGAGAAGGGAAATTCCAGGCCATCGAAGGCAGCTACTCCTACACCGGCTCAGACGGAAAGCAGTACACTGTCCGATACACCGCAGATGAAAACGGCTTCCGACCCGTCGGTGACCACATACCCCGCTTACCACGTTGAAACGACAAAAAAAAAGAAAGAATTGTCAAATTCACCAGCTGGTTTTTGAGTTGAACTTAGTAAAAAAAATGAAATGCACTGTTGCTTTGTTTGCGAGTTTTGTATTCAGTATAACAACTTTGAACGAATTTCTTTTACGCTGTTTGACGATTTTTTTTAAATAAATGCTGCGTATGAATGACGCGAAGTGAAAAATGGTGTTGTTTTATCACTTCATCCAACCCCCCCCCCTCCTCAACCTTCAGCGCAAGTGATCATCACAGTGGAAATTTATTGGCACAGGAATTCACAAAAGCAAAGCATTGTAGAAGTACCATATTCACTCAAGTACCTCTCGTACACTACATTCAAGACTTGCACCTTGGATTTCTAGCAAACATTCTGGAAAAATTGTATCCCTGAATAAGACGCTTACCCATACGAAAATATTTTTCATGTTGGGGAAGAATTAAAATGCAATACTAATACCCCTATAGAAGCTGACTTTGATGGTGATATTTTTTTTCTGTGCAAATAATAAAACAGGTGACCCCCTATAAAATAAAATAAATGGTACCAGAAAAAATTGTTGTGGAGAACCCCAATAACATTGGTTGGTACTCTACCACTGTAATAAAAATGGAACAAAAATGAATTCGTCACATAGAGAGAACATTGTTATAGACAAGTTCAACCTAGAGAAAGTCTACCTGCATAATTAAAATAAATCTAAAAAAATCAGAAGTGGTGACAAAAGACACAGAACCAATTTTTAACAAGTCACTCAAAAATGTATACCCATGATACACACATTATTTTTTTTTACCCACTTTGTTAAGAACAATTTTCAAGGCACTCTTGTGAATACGCATGATAATTGAAAAAAGTTTCACCATCATTTTAACACTTATGACATGTCATACAACACCTTCGGTCTCGTTAGGTTCCGGTGATACGGAACCTAAACCGTAAAATACGGAATTAGGTCAGTATTTTATCTAAAAATCGTAATTTTACCTTCTTTTTAAGGTTGCACGACTTCTTACACTGCGAATTAATGAAGCAGAACAAATTGGGACTCCGCTTCCTACACAAAAAGCACTCATTTTGATTAAAGTGTGTACCACTGATTTTGAAGCTTTCATATATTCGTGAAGTCTAGTAACCCAACGGTCCAAAAACCAAAGAAACACGTACCTTTTTTATGAGAAATCTTACGTGTCCTTAAGAACGGGACACTGACGACACTTTAAGTCTAGTATGTTAACTTGGATTTATCCTTGAACGTCCCAAGTCAAATATTTTTAATATCCTTTTCTGAATCCCCTTAGAAACAACGCATTAAAAACAAATGAATATTGTAGATTTTTCTCCTCACACCTCCATCATTCAAATTATTGGAGGCCTTTTGGCTGTTAATTTATTGACAAAGTAAAAGAAGAAAATCAATAGATATTTAATTTGACGTAACTTTGAAAGGAAGTGAGACACTAATCATTTGGCAAATAAATTCGTGCCTTCATGTTCAGCGTCCTGTCTAATCATTTAAGAAGCAATATTTGAGGCTTAGAATATTAATTAAAATGTCCTGTAATTGAACTAACTATTCCTTCTCCCTCCCCTCAAACAAAAATTCTCGTTTTCCCAACTAATTTTTTGATGTTCCCTTGAAGTTAAAACTTGTCCTATAAAGTGAACGACGGGGTGAAATTTTTCCAGCGAATCAAGAATTCCTGCATGCGAATGAAAAAAAAAAAAATTTTTATGCGAGGCGTAAGAAAAAATAAAGTCATTTTTCAAGCCGCAATTGGCCGACAAAAATAGCTTTTATTGCACAAAAATCGCGTGTCTCGATACTTTACTCACGCGCTCACATACAACTTCCCGTCGCTCTTCCGACAATCGACTAGCCAAATGAGCATTTATCGCTTCCCAACGTGGACTATTTCTTCATTTGTGGGTGGGGGTGGCATTTTGTTTTCACTTTTCTTCCAATCATCGAAAACGAATATGACATACAGTAATAGCAACTTCATGGGTTTATCCAAATGGTCAGACTCGCGAGATGCGTCCCAAAAATTTCCTAGACGTCAGTCCGCAAGCTTCATTCGAAAAATCGGTCATTTCAAGTTTATTTAAAATCATTACAACTGCCTTTCGAAAATTCTGAAAGTCACACTTGGAATTATCCTCCCTCTTGCTTATCATCCTGTCGAAAGATCCGTAATGAATTTAATCCCCCAAACCGCGATGATGATTAACAATTAATAAATAGATTCGTAGTGAAACGTGATGCACATGACGAGAGTTTCTTTTCAGGGATAAAACGGAAATTATCTCAAAAGGCGATCTCTTAACTTTTCCAGTATTTTCTATCGATACAAACTCAAATCTTGTAAATTTGCTAAATTGATCGAAATTTAAGATAACTTCTCAAACGGGTTAATTCGCAGAAAATTTGATCTAGGATTCGATGTGACAGTTGAATCATTTTTCAAGATAAAACCCGAAGAGGAAGTCATTTTGATCTTCATCGCATTTTGAAAACATGTCGCGCTTTTAAAAAAAGGGATTATCAATTCTTGCGTTATAAGAGAATGTATCCAATTATTGCAGCAAGTGACTGAAATTTTTTTTTATGAAAAGACCCTGGAAATTAAATTCAAATTAATCTTACTCAACATGAACATTCCCAGACCCCAACAAATAAGATCGGGTTCACAGTAATTTCACTCAAACTTTCGTGAATTCTACCATCATACGAGACTAACACTTGTGCGAATGAATCAGCCGTCAACGACAGGCTCAAGAAACTCTAAAGTCTCGTTATATATTAAAAAAAAAAGCTCACTGTCTCCAAAAATTAGAAATAGCCGCTCGAAACCAGCGATCAAATTTTTTCCGTCGTTTCTCCATAGAAAAACTTTCCTCGATCAGACGCCGATTCCCGCCGAAATCCTAGAAGCAACGCATGAGCCAGCTTAACGTTAGTTTTTTCTGGTAGTTAGGGAGCGTGCAGGTGACTTAGCGCTCCAGCCCTTTAGCTGTGCTCTAGTAGCTCCGAACTTTAGGTTTGTCAGTTAGTTGTCCATTATCTCCCGTACACAAAAAATCGTAAAAAAAACAAGGAATGTCAGGCACACGATCACATTGCGAAAAAAAAGAAGGGAACATGTTCTAAAATCTCTATAAATCCTCAATTTACCACACACCCTTCTAATAGGAAAAACCTGATGATTTGTTCGAGGAGAAAACTTAATTAACCAGAAATTTTCCACGTTTTTCCCGCATTAGCCGGCGGAGCAAAAAAAAAAAAAGAAAGAAAACGCGTTCACCGCATGCACATTTTTCAAATAAGCAAATAATTTTCTGATGGAAAATATGGGCTCAAATCATTCATGAGAAAAGCGAGTGCTCCAAGCAATCCAAAATACTTTCATCACGACGACTCGGGGGAATTCCTGCCTATTTACTTGCCCAATTAAAACAGCGCAAATAATCGACTACAACGAATGAATCCATCACAGGATCGTTAAACAAGCATTAGCATGAATAATTCGCAGCCGCCAGAAAAACAAATGCTTCGAACAGCCGAGCGTGACTACTTGAAGAATCAATGCTTCTCATGTAATGCCGGGAAAAGTAAATTACCACCCCAATTTCCGGAAAAAGAAACATAAAAATATCGGGCGTCCAAAAAGTTACTGTGATGAGGAAAAGTCGAGTGTTCTGATAGCTTCATCAAACGTAAAATAACACATTAAAAATACCGGAACAGTTGGTAAAGAATAGCTTGAAACACAATAATGAAACTATTCATCATTTCCTGGAAAAATTTCCACACACCAGACGGAACTCGTGACGACCCTTTATAGCACTGAGTGATATTCAATTTTGACTGTCATCAACATCAACCCACTGTAAAGCAGCAGCTTGCCGATCGTCACGCAAAACGCAGGGAAATTCATCACATGTAATGCAAGTCTGAAATCAGAAGGAGTGTTATTAAAGTACCTGTGGGTATTTATTTATAAGTACCTTGTATTTATAGCGTCGCTCCTAGGAGTCCAACTTACGATGAGTCTCGCTTTATAAAGTAATAGCTCATTTAGAAGTTTTAAAAAACCAATACTTTTGCTTATGAAATGCATTCCCCGTATCCAACGTTTTCTTTTCCTCTTCGAGAAAAATTCGGATTTCGAAAGAAAAAAAAGGAGCATCCGAACAGTCTAATTTTGCAACACAAGGGTATTTCGAAATTTTCTGGAAAACTACTGTTGGGAAATGAATCTACCAGACTCCCCCTCGGTTAAAGTCAATAAAAAAAAAAAAAAGGATTGCAATGCATTTGGCAAGGGAAAAACCTGAAGTACTTGCCCTCAAAAGGTACAACCCCTTTCAAAAAGCGTTGTGAAGGAGAAGTGCGTGGCCAATGCCAGAGCCGAGATCCGGTCGCGAAATCGGCGGATAATAATCGTCCGATGGAATCGCGGGCTGCCGGTTCAACCAGCCTAGGCTTTACCTTGCGAGTTTGCGGCCGTTTGCTGAGCGGTACCAGAAGTCGCAAAAGTTTTATAGGTGCTTAAGGCCGGAGTGTCTGCGCAACTTCAACTACGTTAGCACTTCGTTGAACCTCGCTTGCTTCGGCGTGTCGCCGCGAATCTAAAAAAAAATTAGAAGAGAATGTAAAAAGCCCTCTGACAAGGTAAAATGAAACATGTGCGCTCGAACGCAAAATCTTCCACACACAATCGATGAAAACAATCGAATTTCGGCGTGTCGCCGCGAATCTAAAAAAAAAAATTAGAAGAGAATGTAAAAAGCCCTCTGACAAGGTAAAATGAAACATGTGCGCTCGAACGCAAAATCTTCCACACACAATCGATGAAAACAATCGAAAAAATTTATAGGGTGGGACGTCAATAAATTTAACCCCCAAAAAAACTAGCAAAATTCTACATTTACCGCATTTACTCTTGCATCACACGCCTTCTAGTAAGACACGCACTCCAAGTTTGATAAAATCCTACCCACGAATACGACGTGCACCCCTTTTCTAGTTGCTGAAAGACTAAAATATTTCAAAAATATGAGACACAGAATTCAAATTTGAACAAAAATTTAACCAGAATTGAATCAATTTTCAATTTTATTGATTTTTACGAAGTTCCTTTCAAAAATTCCCATTATTGTACAAGAATGTTATCCCCGTCTACAGCGCTCAACCCCCTTTCTACTATCAGTTTCAAGAAAAAAATTCGAAAAAATTCTTAGAAAATAGGTATTTAATGTAAATAATTGAAAATTAATCAAATTCGTGTTAAATTCAAGTCTAAATTCGAATTTCGTTTTTTAAAACATTGCATTGCGGTTTCAGAGTCACTAAAAATGGGGCGCGCGTCTTACTTGGGGATAGCATTTAACGAAAACTGTCCACTGGAAAAATAAGTAGTACAGGTACTCGAGTAAATACGGTAGGCAAGAAAGGTACCCAACTAGCGTACAATAGTTTATCCCATCTATAAAGATTCCAGCAGAATGAGACAAAACGCGCTACAGAGTATTCCAAGCAACTCCGCACGTAATGACGGAAAATTATTCTTACAAAAGACATGTCCGGCTTCAGGTATCCGCCGCCGACCATGAATAA